AACAGTATATTAAGGATACAAGCGTACATCGAAACAAATATATTTACAATTTTTTGTTCATAATATTATCAGCGAGTGAGAAAGAGAGAGAGAAAAAGAAAGAAAAAAATCAATTATTATTTACTAATAAATAACAATAGGTAATAGTACAATATTTAACAATAATAAATAACAAAAATAAAATATTACCAGACGGTCGAGCACATAACGTAGTTTTTTCAAAACTCTATTATAATACAGCTATTTTCAAAATTGTATATTATTTACACAACTACCAAAGTCCATAAGAGAAAATTTTCCCCGATGCACCATAATAATATGATGACCCTTCTCCTTCTGGCCCTTTATACAATTTACAAACAATATAAATTAATGGAATGTCTTCATTCTAAGAACTTCTATAGACGTATATTGTTATTTAGTATGGTGAACATATCGATCGGGGATAAACTGCAAAAGCACTGTCGTAACAGTAATACAGTATAGTATATAGAGTTATAATTGTTATTTTAACACCCTTCTTAATGATATACCTAGTAGATAGTGATACAGAAAATATAATTTTCATTCACTATTAATCACCCCGTATATATTATACATAATAAATACTTAATAGTATATCTATAATAGTATAGACAATAGATTTTTATGTTATTTGATTTATTTCGTATAAAATAAACAGGATAAGCAAAATACCAAGTTATTAAGAATAGTACTTACAGTACTTACAGTACATATACACTATATTTAATAGTATAAAATAAGAAAAAAAAAAAGAAAATACTCAAGAAACTTGGCTATTCACAGTCCACAGAGTAAAAGAAGAGTCCTCATTGGCAAACCGCATCATACGCATACGATTAAAGAATTTAAGTCGGCCATACATGATCTTCAAATCAATACCATTTTTCTAAAAATTATAATTTTTTTTATACTATTAAAATTAAATAAGTACCAAATGACTAACAAATAGTAATATTGTGTTTATACTCTATAATAAATATATAATATATACTTATCGATTACACCTATTTTTGGCGTAATCGTAGCATTATTTTATCTGCTGGTAGCGACCTTTAAAACTTAATCATTACACCTGAAACTTTTCCTACAGCTCATTAATTTCATGTAGAACAATTTGACTAGGTGCCCCAATAATATTTTAAAAGTTGAATTTTAAGCACCACCCTTATATACATATATATATATATATATATATATATTTGTATGTATATTATATATTATATAATATCATATATAATATATTTGTATATAATATGTTATATATAATATAATATCATATACAATAATTAATAATATAATACGTATATACGAATGTGCGTTTAACATTATTTATTTTAAATGCACCCAGGCTATTAAAGGAAAAAGTCGAAAGACGTCATTTTGGCAGTTTGGCCATTTTTCAATTATTACCGCTATATCTTTTCGAAGAAAAGATGTATACAAATGTATAGTATATGGTACCAAGTACCAACCCAACTAAGAAGTTTTCATTATAAAAATATTTGATTTTTGTATTCTTTCTTATCTTAATATACCTATGAAAAATGAAAAAGCGTTTACTGACAATTTGGAAATGAGACATTTTTTTTAATTTCCTGAAATATAGTGGTTTTTATCTTTGACTCGTTTTTTTGTTACTTGCACCGTCATATAGTCTATTGTTCATAAATAAGTTGTGTAATTGTTTATTTTATTATATAGGTATATATTAGCGCATCAATCGGGTTGCTGCTATGCTGCTGAGCAGCAAAAGCTGAAAACAGACGTTTTTTTATAAGCATTTAAAGATCGAAGTTTGACAAAATTTATCAAATTTAAAATTGAATAGTTATTTTGTAGTTAAAAATTTATAAAATGTTCAACTTTTATATCTAAGGATTGAAAATTTAAAACAAGATTCCATGTAAGTAGTTAATTCTGTTACCAAAAATCTTACCTGTTATCTAAAAAATACACAAGCACAGTTTATTTTTATAGTCATTTTAAGTTCAAATTTGGACGAAATTACATATTAAAATCAACTTTAACGATTTTGGTTTTGTATTGTAATTTAAAAATATTATTCGGGGATATATGAAACTGAAAAATCAAAAAATCAAAATATTTTGGTCTATCCATACAATCTACCATAATATAAGAATAGTATGCTCAATGATAAGACTGTGCATATTTTTTTTTTTATTACCATTGATATGTATATAATATGTCTTAAACCAAGACTGTTATACCGTCTCCGCTCAGAATCGTTTTTCTTATACAATGATATTATATCATTGAATTCAAATTTAATACCATCCATTATACAGTGACCCACTTGTAACCTACTGCAAAGCAGAGCACCTTTTTTAATATGTAATTTCGTCCAAATTTGAACTTTAAATGACTATAAAAATAAAATGTGCTTATGTATTTTTTAGATTTTTTGGTAACAGAATAAACTACTTACGTGGAATCTTGTTTTAAATTTTCAATTCTTAGTTAAAAATTTTGAAAATTCTATAGATTTTTAACTACAAAATAATTATTTAATTTTAAATTTGATAAATTTTTTCAAAACTCAATCTTTATAAATGGTTTATGGTTATAAAATAAAATTGTGCCTATGCATTTTAATATTTTTTAACTGCTATTGTAACAATATACAGGAGCCTTGTATTCAATTTTTACACTTTTTGGCAAAACAGATAAAACTTTATTAATATATGAAAACAAATGCTCATAAAAATTTAATTTCACTTTCCGGTAGACATTTTTTTTTTGATAAAGGTAGACAAACTTATAAAAAATCTTGTATTACATTTTCAATTCTTAGATTTAAAAAGACAAATTTTTATGAATTTCTAACTAAAAATAATTTGCAAAATTTCGTGTTTTTTCCGTATTTTGTCAATGTTTGAACTTTAAATGCTTATAAAAAAAAAATTGTGACTAAGGAATTTTAATATTTTCCAAACGTCATTGTAACAATATATTAGGAGCTTTGTATTACATTTTCAAGTTTTTTTATCTAACAAATAATGTTTTATTGACATTCATAAAAAAAATCCTAAAAAAGTTCGAAACTGAGTATATCCGTAAACTGCAGCTCAAAACAAGTCAAAATTTTTTGCAATTTTTTCATTTATAGAAAAGGCTAATATAAACATTCAGTGAAAATTTCATGTATTTGAGATCATTTGTTTTAGAATTACACCTAAAGCCAAAATCGATTTTTCCCGGCGATTTTGTAAACTATTGTGAAATTTTTACTTTTGACCCCCTAAAGTACCAACTAGATTCACTTTTCTATCAGAAAAGATACTATTGAAGAAAATCCAAGCAATTTTCTGTCCTAAAAGGTGATGACAGACACAAAAATAAAAAGTAAAATAAATAAAAAAAACACATCATTGTAAAATCAATACATTCATCGTTCCACTCAGAATCTATAAAATAAAATGCGTACCAAAATAACGTACGTTAATCAACCACTGTCGTAACTTTTGAATAAATTTGTCGTATATAACAAACGACATATTTTTGTACTTTGCAATTAGCAGCTTTTTTGCTTATGCGGGAAGAAGCCTTTTTAACATTTTACCCCCAGTCCACGTGTTACTGTTGCGTGTTAATGATTTTTGAACTATAGAATACGTGTGTATATTTATAATATAGAACCACCAGCCGTTCAATTTTTTTTATCCAATCCAAGCTTTGTGACATAAGCTTCACCGCCGTATAATATATATATTATGTACAAGCGAAACGCACAGGGATGAGGTATAAACAATTGTATGTAGTTAAAAGCACGCGTTGAAGGGCTCTCGTGCTGCAAGCCACGAGATTGCACCACGGGATTCAATACTTTCTCGAGTGTGCTTCGAGTTCAGGTCTTCGTCGATTATCGGATATAGAGGAAAATGTCGGCTAAATACCACACAATATAATATACAATTTTTGTTACTCATATTAGCTACGGGTAAAGTATAGAAAACTGGAAATTGTATTATTTGCTGGGGAGCGTAAGATATTATGATGCCCAATGTAGGTAGGCAATGTAAGATAATTATCAGTTATCATATACTATATAGTATATACATGATTATACACGACCCAGGAATCTCATACAATATGATCCTACCAAGTCAAATCCTATCAAATCATTTTTATTTTTTTTTATTTTGTTATCATATTTTATTGCCACACAGAATACGGATTACTGGATGTTTTGCGTTTCGGCAGACATTTTCTTGGGGGGGGGAGTGAAAAAATAATACACTTACCTTAAATTCTGGTTTTTATATATCACATCGTAAAGAAAAATTTTAAATTTCGTGTCACCTTATCAGTTATCAGTCCTCCTTATCGCCCTCCAAGACTGCTATATAAAATGCAAATAAATGCAATAAAATGCTATATAAATTAGGTATTATTTAAATGAGCGGGGGGGGGCGTGGACCTCCCCCCTGCGGTCGGCCTTGCCAAAAATACCCAGATTTTCCTCACTGCTTTTAACTTGTACAAACCAGATATCTACATTATACATGGCTAACACTAACATTATAGACTTATAATAGATATACATATACTGATATCTGAAGATCAAATTACAAAACAGTATTCAAAACTATCAAAACACTGCCTCGCATCCATATAATATTATGCTCGTAATAACTATAATAGGTATTATAATCTTACTTCGGTATGAGTCGCGTTCGAGCCGAGAGGACGACTGCAATAAATTATTTTTTACATTTACCATAGCGACCGCTTTCTTACCACGGCCGCGATTGTTCGATACAGCAACTTACTATATTGTTATATTGTGTACTGGGTGTAATAACAATAATGACGATGACGATGATGATGATAATAATAATATCATAATAAATTTCGCAGTCGGCCGTTTCGTGACCCATATAATATATTTGTCGTGGCTCCGCCGCTGTCTTTGAGATACCAAAAACCAAATCACAGTACAGGTACATATAGATGACATGTCACGACGACACTGTACCGACGACGACATTGTCGACGGCCTGTTGGGCGCCGCTGGCGGCCTTTGCGAAGAACCTCGCATACGGGCCCTGTGCGTTGACGCTCGGCGAGCGTTCCTCCGGCAACCCATGCTACTGCGGTTGCGGGCTCCTATCAAAGTGGTCGGCGACTTACACGGCCAGTTCGGTGATCTGCTCAGAGTGTTTGACGTGGCCGGCCGGCCGCCGAAAGCCGACTTCTTGTTCCTGGGTGATTTCGTAGACCGCGGCCCTCAATCCGTCGAAGTATGAGAACACATATTATAATAATAATATAATATAATATAAATAATATTATTATACATTTTGTAAATATTACCGTATTAAAATACCCGACTTCTCCGGGGCAAAATAATGAACAAAGTAATAAACATAGAACGCGACACTATATCGCGGTATATCCGCACGGTTTAAGTTGTAAACTTTTATAAAGATATCTTTAACTTTAACTATATCAGTTGTCACTAAGATTTTAGACGTTTTAGTATAATATCTTAATTTCACGGGAAAATCGTAATCGGTTTACCTCGCTTTGTGGACTTTGTAGGTCATTCGATTGAGATGGGCAATCCACGTCCGTGGAAGCATTACATTTTGTTGTACAGTTTTGAAAAAAATAATATTATTTTTTATTTAAAGAATATCCAATAGTGATGCATGGTGGCGGATTGGCAGGTATATAAACATTTTTGTTTATTAATTGTATTTCTGTAACCAATGGGCAACTATAAAAATAATCAAAATACATTATTCGATAAAGAAGCTAAAACCAAACTCCGATTCTCAAGGAATCTATTGATAAAACTTCTATAAAAATAGGACCAGTAATTTCTGAGATTAGAGTGTTCAAACATGCTCCTTTATATTAATATTATAGTATACCTATAGATAATGGGACAAGTGATCCGTTTGAATGTAATAGTTATAAACTTTTAACTTATAGTAAAACTGTTATACTGGAACTCTAAGACTATATTATTATCAACTCGTTGAGCTTTTCAAATGGGCTTGTATAAATATTTAAAACCGATAAAATTATAGTTTAGCAGCTTAATATAGATTATATAGACCTTGTAGCCTGCCCTCCTGCAGGTACCTCCTTATACTTTGATATATATATATATTTGTTGAAATGTCAAAATGTCTGAACAGTTTATAGGTAATCATACTGCTGCAGCTCGATGGGGCGTGGGGAAAACCTGGGTGCTAGTCGTCACAGTTTAAACGGGCTTAACCGTTTTTAGCCAAAATGACCCTATTTTCATCTCCTATATGACATCGCCCATTATCACCATAACCGTTTTCCATCAAAGGTTATATTCCGATTTCCGCCAAAAAAATTAATAATTTATTTAAGATATTTTTTGAGAACCCTTAATATCAGTTATATCCCGCCATATTATTATTATTATTATTATATAAATAATTCAAGACAAATAAGAAAAGAAGAATACCAACATTCAAAAACAAATTCATGGGGATTTAGCTAGGAGTGAGTTTATTAAACAAATATCTTTTTCATATAGTACCTAAATATTCAATACGCGTGTTATAATATGTTTGAATATTTGTCTTTTTGTGAAGTTTTAATTTTTTATAATTTTTTGTATTATTTGGACGAGAAACTTGTGGTGTTTTTAATTAATAATATTTATATTTATACTATTTATACCTACTATTCGTTTAATTTTATTTTTATATATGCATTTAATATTTTAATATAATCATTGATCAATATGTGTCGTCAGTAATACAAGGTGAGGAGCGTATATCGTAGTCATTATTTCTTAAGAGGACGTGAATACGTGATACCCGCATGTGTTGTCTCCGTCTTACAAGTGCGTAACATAGCAAATTATACCCAAAGCAGAATACGTGTAGCTCCGTTAGCTTAAAAATTAGAGTAAATTGTCCTCTTATAAAATCTAAAGGTAAAATTATTATCTAAACAACCTTATGAGCTTTTTATTATATTTTAATTTTTAAGCGAGTTATGAGTACTTTAAAATGTACAAAAAATTTACAATTTTATGTGTTTGTTTCTCGAGCAGCGTTTTTCCTATATTACTCAAAATTCCAATTTTAAAACATCCCATAAAAATAACAAATACTTATAATACACTTCTTTTATAATTTGAAAAAAAATAAATAGTATTTATACAACTAACTGCTTCAGGATTAGTTGCACCACCATCTTGGAGCAAGTTGTCCCAGCCCCCGCAGGCAAATCAAATGATAAATAATTTAATGTAACATTTTTGTATCAGATTTAAAATAATTACTCAATGTCTCAATGTTATTAAATTGAATCTATTAATAATAAAAAAATAACAAGTTAATATAAAATTAATTTAAATCATATTTAGACACTATTTCAACACGATATATTGTGACAACAAGCCCTTCATATTTTGTGACAACAAACCTTATAATACATGATAATACCATAATTGATAACAAATTAGCTTTATCGAAAGTGTGTTATCAGTTTATCATCACATGAAATATGAGTATATGACAGACCAAAATATTAGTTACACTCGTAACCCTCTATACTCGTAGTCTATCTTCGAGACAACAACGTTAAATTATAATATATAGCTTAAATAAATGATAAATATTAAACGTGTTTTATGCAAAAAATGTACTCTCAGACTTTTTTCGTCTTAAAATTTGTCATATGACTTCAATAATCAGCTGTATGCGGCGTTTGCCGAGAAAAAAACTATTATTTTCTTTGTGTTAATGTACATGAGAACACACTTTACGAACATAAATGCCATCTCTTTTTGGTGTTATTAACATTGTGACAAGTAAGAACCCGTGTGACAACTAACCCCGGTCTCTCCTACACGTTGCCATGCCATCATTTCAGTTTTAATTGGAGGGGCCCGGAAGGAGAAACCTTTTTAAAAGCCCATGTTATAAAAGAATATACTATCGCAAGCTGTTTTCCGCTAACAGTTTTATCTTACTATACAATTCCCATCTAACATAATTTTAATATGTCGCGTAGGCAAAATAGCCTCAATAGTCTAACTTTATTTCAAAACGCGTTGAAGCTTACCTAACACTTATATTAATGTGGTATTGTGGTGCCTTGCTCATTTTAGATTTTTTCAAAAGGTTCTAACAAATTAAAACACAATACTAAACACAACAGCTAAAATGTTACTGACAAATATTGAATATTATTAAGATAAGAATTTCGCAGTGCCTTCATAATATATTATTATATTTTATCATAATTATTAAAATGGGTATGTTATAGACGTCAGGTGGCTTTTAAAATATCATTAACGTAAAAATGTCCTCTCCCACTAAATTCCACCAATGCATAACAATATAATATAGGTTATCAGGTTATCTATTATATAGTTATTGCAGCGTATTACTTATCAGTATTCAGTAACCTGTTATAGATTTAGTTTTATTGATCTTAAGCATAGGCAACGATGTCCATTAGATTTTTGTAGGGGATTACGGTTGGTTTAGCAGCACTACCTATGTGTACGCAGGGAGGATTCGCCATTAAAAACCTGGGTAGTCACCCATCCGGGAACTAACAGCGTCGGCCTGTGCTTGACCTCAGAAAAAGTTAGTGACTCAGGCAAACCACCTAGCCACACCACGCACCTATATTTATTTATTATTTATTATTATATAATATTTGTATGAAATAAAATCAACGATTATACACATTAAATGTGTCGAGAAGGTGATCACTCTACTGCTGGCACTCAAGACTCGGTACCCAGAGAACGTTCACCTACTCCGAGGGAACCATGAATGCCGTACCGTGAACATCAGGTACGGGTTCTACGGCGAATGCCGGTCCCGGTACGGCCTGCTCACGGGCGCACGGCTGTGGCGAGCATTCAACCGGACGTTCGACTGCATGCCTGTGGCCGCGGTCATCGGCGGCCTAATATTCTGCACGCACGGCGGCCTCAGCCCGGATTTGCACCACATGGCTCAGATCGACCGGATTCGAAGGCCCGCCACTGTGCCCAGGCGCGGTGTGCTGTGCGACCTGCTGTGGTCTGATCCGGCAACGGGCCCGATCCAGGGCTGGCGCAAGAACGTTCGCCGGAACGTGTCGTACGTGTTCGGCGCCGACCAGGTGGCCGATTTCCTGTCCAGATTCCGGTTCCAGTTGGTGGTCAGGGCTCATCAGGTACTAGCTATATCGGGCCCGGTTCATTCAACTAGTGTATTCGACGAATACTCGTTATGAAGTACGAGAACAGAGTTGGCACTTGTACGAATAGGTATTTGTATATATTCGTCAAATACACGAGTCGTGAGAACTGGGAACATATATTTACACTGCGGCTTATACGCATGGTACTTATATAGGTATACATAAATATATTCACCTGGACACCCGGTGTCTGGTTACTGCATGGACTTGGTTATAGGTTGCGGGGTGTCTAGTTATAATCCCGATGCTGACTTTTTTCTACAAGTAACTAACTACTAAATAATATTTTTGAAAATTCCTGAGCTGTACTAAAAAGAGTTAAGTTTATTATAATTGTATGTATTTTTTGGTTTTCTTACGATATTATAGTTACCTAGGTATAATCTAAATAAAAAATAAAATATACCTACCGTTCAATATTTTAAAATAGATTTGACGTATCTAAACATATATTATATAATACAGGGATGTGAATATGGAAATATTATCTAGGTATATGATATTGTCCAAGATGGCAAGATTTCAGTTATATGCTTCTATTAGTTCTAAGAATTGAATTATAGTTATACAGGGTGTAACAGAACTATTTAACAAATGTCATATTTGTAAAATAGTGCTGTTATATCCTGTATTATAAAAAAAACAGTTTTTATTTATATAATATTTCGTTCTAATAATCTACGTCATTGTTTTATATGGTGTATACTGATTATATGACATATTTACTTAATTTTTTTGGACTACTTATCCCGCTTTGATGGAAATAAATAATATAGTTGATGGGCGGGTACGGAGGATCGAGTACCCACGAACTCGAAGCAGACATTCGATCAGTATTCGTATCAAACATAAAATTATATTTTTTATTTAAGACGAACATTTACCACCCTTGATCTTATCCTCTACGCATTTACTATTTTAATTTTATAGTCCTCAAACGAATTTGTCATTCCTATACGTCTATATTATATACTTAAACCTATATAAATGTCTATAGAATATATTATATGTTTAAATGTAGGGCCAGTTATATCGTCGTCGTCCCTTTTGGTCACTCGGGCGTTCGCGTTACGAGATAGTATTATCATTATTATTATACCTTTGTTGTTGGTTAACAGCCCAACTATGCTAATGTCTTAACGTTTATAATGATAGAATTATTTACTTGTACAATGTTTTCATATATATGTTAGGTCCAATTATTGAGGTAATTTCAAAGAACTTTATTACAATTTCATTAAAATCTCTAAGCTTAATGAGTTTGTTTTATTATCATCGTTTGTTTTATTTTTTATTTCTACCACGAACAATATTATTTTATTATTCCATGCTTATACCGTGTGCAAAATGTTTAGCTAGAGTTATAAAGGTCTAAATTCATATACCTACTAAGTATATTTTATTAGTACCGTCTCTGCAGGGATTATATAAGTAAATAAATAAGTTAATTATGGGGCTTAGTACCGACCACGAGCTATGTGCATTAGGTATATTATTATTTAACATTTGACACAGTGAATTCAAAATTCAAAACAAAGTAGTTTTATGTATATGATGCGTGTAAATTAAGACGATTTTATTTATTATGTAATGCCATAATGGAGGTGTCTAATTTATAATTGTTATTTATGAGTATTTAATTGAAACAATGATTTTTTGTTATAACTCAGTCGTGTCTTTATTATTGGCTCTATGTCTAATAGTTAAAAGCCAATAATAAAGTTATAATACTTATCCTTTGGAAAAAAAAATTCAAGCTAAAAGAAAAATAATAAATAAGAATCATTTTCGAATAGAACTATAGTCTAAAATAATACTTACTTAGCTTATAAATGTATAGGTACTTACTATAAATCATTTCCCAAGGAAAAGTTTCACATATAATATAAGTTTAATAATAATAATAATAATAATAATAATAATAATAATAGGAAACAAATTACGTTAAATATTTAAGTTTTTAGATGAGCCAACCAGGATTATCTGAAAATTGTTATGCCCCATATAACAGTTTCCCACCTAGCTTGTGGATATATTAATATCAACGCTTCAAGCTTTAACAGTTTCTCCAAGTGGAATGTAAGTATAGATAGGTATAACCGACTATTTGCTTGGAATTTTCGTAGGTACATAACAAATTGCTTTTAGAAATACTTGGTTACGTTTATTAAGATGAATTAAGGTATGGGTAAATTCAGAAACTACAAATGTTTCAGTGGCTACTCAAATCATATTATTATCTAAGTGTAGGTACTGCAGCTGTTATTATTAAATATTATTATATATTAATTATAATTTATTAATGTGTCATAATACCTATTATACGTAATTTATAGTAATATAATATTGTATAATAATTTATTATAAGTAGGTTTAGTGTGTAACCTTGTGAAGAAAGCTTGTAGAACAAGTCAGTATAAAATATTTATTATTATGTATACATTTTACGCGAGTGTCACTACTTATAAAAAAAAATATTATTTCATTTACCAAGACTTTATTAAAATTAGAAAGGACGTAAGACGAACCTACCCCAACTCTATTACTTCTTTGAGTAACATACTAAAATAGTATTATGTATTATATTATAAGACTATGTAGGGAATTTAAAACTTTTATTAGGTATACAAAATGTGTAACTTTAACTCCCCAATTAAAATCGTTAGTACACCTTTACAGCGTCCACATTAAACAAGTTAATATTATATTATTAGTAAATTAATTAACATTATATTGCCAGACTGTCAGTGTACTGTGTATATTAGATGTCCTAATTACATCAACGCTTTAGGATTATTTTATTTAAAAACATAATTTATCGTGATAAACCTTTAGGTATCTACAGGCATATATTAGGTGGGTATGTTGTATGTATATTATACAGATTACGATAGAGTTATGTTTTTTAATCAATAAGGCTGCGTACCTAGCATGTAAATTAGTTTTAAACAATATTACGTTTTTCAGAATAGGGTGGATAGATTGGGTGTTTTTTTTTATTACCTAAAATGAATTATTATTTAGGTCCTAGACCGTGTAACCGTTATCAAAAAGTGTATGTAGGTACTTAATTTTTCGGTTAACCTACTATAGTATTATTAAAGTTAAAATTCTATACTACCTATATATTATATTGTAATGGTAAATAATATAGGTCACTGCGCTTTCTGTCGTCCACAACCTTTCAGATTGTCCAATTTAACAGGTTTAATTGTTGGTTCAATAAAGCATACTTTATATAACATAATATGTATTTATTTATTGTATTTGAAAACGAATACAGAATACCTATATGTTTCTATAAGCAATGCAGTTGAATGTACGGCATGATAGGTATAAACCGTAGCCTATAGGGTATGCAGCAGATATGCTTTAACGAAGACGCAGTTGTAATCGGACCGTACTGCTAGTTGTATAATATATTTTTCCGATTCGTGTGACATTGAACCTAAAATGTAGGTTATGAAAACGAGTGGTCACGAGTTTAAATTTCTTATATAATATGTATTAAACGATAGTACGATATATAATATTCAATTGCAGGGGGAATATATTTATAGGTACTTACTATACTTACTTGATTTACTATACGGCATACGCTAATCAATTACCATAATATGTTATGCATTCAACTGCATTGTATGCTGGCGAGCTGTAATAAAAAGCACGTGTCTGGTATAGAGATGTGAGCTCGGTAAATTTACCGGTTAAGCGTAAATTTACTTAAATTTTACCACCATTCTTTTTACCGTTCATAAAATCCAGTGAACCTTCATTTTTACTATTTTTACTCGTGTAATAACTTTTATTTAGGTAGCCAGAGTAGTCTATGACTATAATTGCAGACACTGAATTTTAGTGTAATAGTGTATAGTTGTATAATAGCCGTATAGGAATAGTCAATAGGTTAGTGTAGAATGTAGATAGAAAAAATGAAAACAAAATATTCATCTTCCAATTTTTTTACGAAATTAGCCAGTTTACCAATTTTTTTGTAAATTTACCGAACAATTTTTACCGGTAAATATTCCACATCTTTAGTCTGGCACTATTTCTGTGCGAAGTACTAAAACGCAGACGTGTTGTACGCATTTAAAATGTCTGTAATCGTATGAAAAGCGTTCAAAATTCCTAAAAATGTTTTGCCATCCCCTGCCTTCGTCCACCATAGTTAGCCTTATGTAGTTATATAGTTACTAGTTAGTCTTATGTAGTGTATACATTGCAAAAAAAGATTCCCGAACGATTTATTATTTTTTTATTTGTGTTTCAAATTATTATATATCATAATGAATTTATCACGTATTATGTGTCCTGCACACAGTGCGTGGAGGGAGGTTACCAATTTTTCGCGGGCCGCAAGCTGGTGACCGTGTTCAGCGCACCCGATTACAATGGATACGGTTTGCCAGGCGCCGTCATGTCTGTGAACAAACACGTCAAGTGCACTTTCCAGCTGATACCGGTTGCAGGAGCAGCGCAGAACAAACGTTGGATTGCAGGGCGAAGGACGGCCAGCAAAATACCAAAATAATCCTGTTGAACTGTAGTGCGAAGGCGATTTTTAAGATGTTCATATTATATAGCACGCTAACAAGCTGGACATGAGATCTCAGAATCCTTGATTTTAAAATTGTTTACATCAGGTGAACACTGCAAGATTTATCACGTGGTATCGAAAGATACAAAAGAAAGAAAAGAAATATATTTTTTAGAAAATCTAATAAACTTTTTAACATACATTTTCGCTTCCTGCATATAAAATAATATGTCCATCGGAATCCTAATTAAAGGGATTTTCGTTATTTTTATATCCATAATATAGTATTGTGCAGCGCGGATAAAGGACAGCACTCCGATGATCGTCCATTGTATATTTTAAAGGCTCTACGCTGAGTGGTTTGGCTTGAGTCTGATCATCTCCCCCCGGCTGGGGTGTTGAGCGCATGAGTATCGACCCTGCCTAGAGCCACACGTTTGAAAGTTTTATTATAATATGTACATTGTACCTCGTATATGCATGAAAGTATACAGCCAAAGTCATGAAATATGACTGAAATGAGATGCGCCACAATATTTATAATGTTTTGCAAGATATTCCAAAATATTTGATTGGGAGGTATGCAGAAAAACTGGAGTGAAAACTGCAATTTTTCTATTGCATTAAAAAAAGCTGGCAATTAAACGAATTGCAGTATAGTTGTGGAAGATATCGTTGAATTGATTAACGGCTTAATAGGTAGAAGGATTATATTTTGTAATCTATTATTAATTATAAAACTGGTTGTAATTAACATTCCTGTCATGACTTACTGCATGACATCAACAGACACATCTAGATAACAGGTATATTTAACATGCATACGATAAGAGTACCGTTGACACATTTTAATGAAATGGTATTTAAAAAAAATAATAATAATAAGACAAATATTATCATAATACATATTTGTAATGTTTATATTTAATTGTATAAAAATGTATACAGTTTATCTTTGCAAACTAATTACAGCCCCCTCTCCCCCCTAACTGTAAATAACTTTAAAAAGCTAATTTCTTCATCAGCAGGTAAACGCATTGGTCCACTTCGAATCCGTGTAAATTGTTTGGGTCACCCAGCAGTCGCATCAATAATCCACCAAATGATACGTAAGCGGCACTAAAATATAAAATTTCAAAATTAAAAGAGAAAAAATGTATTATTATTATGTTATATTAAAAAAAAATGGTAAACGAGCGTTACTACATTATAAATGAATGAATTAATATAATATTATGCGTAGAACGTATTGTAAATAAAATCAAGAGGGGGAAGGAGTTCATCGATATTTATATAGTTTCTCTTCTTATACAATCGTTACCTATATAATTTGTATGCAGCCAGCCAGCCAGCCATTAAATTAACTCGTATAGGGTATAGGATTAAGCAGGGAGTTACGCGTTTATTTCATTTTGTAATTGATTGCAGCCAATGAGAGATGATACTTATATTATTCTACACTAATTTTTATAGAATTCGGTAGATAATATTTGTCGGCAATAATGAGAGGAAGAGTATCGCAATAAAACGTACAAAAACCTTCAAGTACAGATTATTCCTAGTACAGAGAGTCCTGCAGTAAACCGGAGAGTCCGGATATTCTAGTTTTTTTTAGGTTTTTCATTTACGTTGGTTCGTGCATTGGGTATGTCACTGTCATAATTCACACAAAACAGAATATTTTAAGGTTTATGTTTATCATTATCACAAAGTAAAAGGGGGACGCGAAAAAATCACCGCAACACCCGTCGAGTCGTATGTTACGAAAAAGTTTTAAAATCGTTATAGGTAGTTGTGTTTGAAAAAAAAATATATGATTTTATATTTATGTATTATTTTTCACTCGTATCACGGCGACTGTGACACTATGACTTTGAATGACTGTGGAGTTTTTTTTATCTGCGAGCAAGTTTCAAATTTAAATGAAAAACGCACTATAATAATATGTATTTCCCCTTTCAGAAAAATAAACTTACGTATTTTCATTAAAATAAAATTTACTTTTATACCGCCCGCTAGGGAAATAGGGATTACTAAATGCATTGTATATGTATACGACTCGGATATATAAAAGCGAACTCATGTAATTGGGTCCACACCAAATCACTGAGATTCTTTTACTATCGAAAGGTTATTTACCGTCTGCGCTAATTACATTTTAACTACATATAATATCATCAACTCATCCAAGAAGACAGATATTGATTCCGTACAAAAGTTATACTATTTTTGCTGTTTATTGGTTAAAATATAGACACAATATTTTAGTATGAGAAGAGAAAAAAGATAAACCCCGGAAATGCGATTTGCATATGTGCATAGTACCTATACGTTAAAATATTGTCATACGTCGATTTATCATATAATATCATATATTATCATTTAACATAATATTTTGTCAAGTTATATTGGTCGTAGAGGAAGGGGACAATAATAATATAAATAAGTCATTTTTCGTATGAATGTCATATATTATTATAATAACATGTAATATATGATAATAATATTTTTACACCAAATGAACGAACACGGGCAAGATAAAAAATAAAAATAAATTATGTATACACCAGATATGTTTTATTTGAAGTGTCGTGGCCCTGAGTAAAGTGTTATTATTTTATTTAGTTTTTAATTGCTCACGGTTCACCGCATATACACACGTGCAAAAAAAAAATCTAATCTGAGTGTAATAACTGTTCACGACGCGTACCGTCGACCACATTCAACGTGTTCGCATTTAATAATATAATAATAATAATAAAAAATATTTTGATTTAGAGGAATGACGTATTAGCTTTGTGCCCTGCGGTAGTAAGTTCTCCTAAGACTCGACCGATCGGTACAATTCGATAAAACGTTTTGTTGCGATACTAGCTGTATAATAGTCGTATGGATTCCCGTCTCAAACTCTGCACTGTATGTATATTGTTTATAAATGCACTTTACTAACTTACGCTTATTAAGAAGCGCGTGTATTATTTATATATCTATATATAAATTATAATGTATGTACACGAATATATTATTATCAAACTCCTCGAAACGGTCTTTGAGGTACCTATTTTTTTTTAAATCTACACAGTTGGCCAATAATATTGCAATAAATTATGAACGTGTTGATAAACGCCCCCCATGGCCCCATCTATCATATTATATGCGTGTGCAGCAACACATGCACAATGATTTATAATATAAAACCTGGTCTGTTGTATATCAACTCAAGTAGTACACTGGAGACCGCGTAGTTATTTTAAACATAATATATAATCATTATTATAATATTGTATAGGTATTTGACATTTGTATTACTATTAAAATTACATAATACAAAAATAAACAAGTCATAGTGATAACCTCTGGTTTATATATTACAGCTCAATTTAAAGCGATCCTAACACGTATAATACATTAATACACGTATTAAAATATATTAATGTGGTAATGATGATTCAATGTATAATAATGAATAACTGATTTTTTATACATGAATATAATGTTGTTATTATTAAATATTAACTACTACTATAACCATTGATTATAAATACTAGTATAATCAATGCTATTACTATAGTCTATAACCACCTACTTCACTACTATTTTCGTTATTCTACATAGTGAACTTCGTCGTCGTCGTTGTCGTTGTCGTCGGACATGGCCTGACGCCCAGTGGAATGTGCTTAGTGGCCGTGAGTATAATATCAAATATGTACACAACCAGCTAATCACACTGCCACAGTGCGAAAATCCGGCATAAACACTTGATGCAACGATGATAGAATACGGATAAACATACAAATATACATAAATACGTAATAGATAATAATATACACACATTAGGACATATTATAATATTATTATACATAATAATATATATATACAGGGTGTTTTCACACGCTCATCCGCTTTTAACCTTTAATTATTCATTTATTCTGATTTTTGGAATTTTCAAGTTTACACTATAATGACAATATTTTCAAATACTAACCATCATGTTTTATGGTGAATTGTTCGTTAAGCGAATGATTTTGTTTGAAAATATTGATGCGTCTAAATCGAAAAGCAAATGAGTATCTAGTATCTACTGGCTTCTACCTAGTTTCTGAGTTATTGAACTTTGTGTACTAAACATTATCTTAGTCATTACCCTCTCTTTAATATTCGCTTAAGAGGGTGTGCTACCCGTATGGGTATTATATCCGTCTTACAAATGTACAATATAGCCAAAAATGTTTTGTCAATGGACAATGACAAAATATTTTATGTTTTTTTGCCAAAAACTTAACTCTACTAATAGTAGAATTATGAAAACTCTACAACGTATAGGAAAGAATTTTATCTGTGACGTAGTTTTAATTCTTTTGATAACTATGATTAAATGAAAAAACTAATGTTCTCAAACTTATAATTTTAATTGTATTTGTTATCCAAAAAATAAAAACGCTACGTCAAATACAAATTTCTTCCCTATGCGTTGCGGAAATTTGGTAATTCTACTATAAATAATACATAGGAGAAGTAAAATTGTTACGCGCAAACAGTTTTTGGCCATGTTGTACATTTGTAAGACGGAGACAACACAATAGTATGCGGGTAGCAATTTATATAGATGTCGACAATATTTTACTAATCAATAATCGTACAATATTAATATTGATTTATAGTTTTTGATTCAACATATCTCCAATTATCTTCTACACAATATAATAATATATCGTGGACTATAATTATTAAGGACCATATTTTTAAATAGGCACCTACTTGTATTTTTGATGCAAAATTAATGTATCCTGTAGTGATAAAAATTTTTCTTTTTTCAAACAAGTACTAGAATTTTTTTGTAAATTGTTAAGAGGATATCAACGCACTATTTGTTTTCTCTCTCTGGCCCAAGAGCAGCATAGACAAAATATATTAACGCAGAATCATTTTTTCTAATATGTTTTTAAGTAATCTTGGAGTAAAATCACCCAGTACAGAAAAGATATGGAATAATACTTTTGAGGGAATGACATATCGATTTTATATTTTATTGTTATTCGACTTTCAAAATAAACAAAAAAATGTTGTACATTTAATTATTTAAATGATATTTAAATTGTTTTGAGACAATATTTAGACAAATCGATATAAGGTTCCCTCAAAAATATTATTCTCCATCTTTTTTGTAATGGGTGATTTTACTCGTAAGATTACTTAAAAACATAGAAAAAATGATTCTGCATAAATCCGTTTGGTCTATGTTGCGCGTAGGCCAGAGAGAAAATAAATTGTGCACGGATATTCTCTTAAGCGAGGAAATCATTATGATAATGTTGATATAAATAAATCAAAATTCGAACGATATTAAACTGAACTTAAAAGTAGGTACCTATGTCGGTATTAATAATATTAATATTAAAAAAAATGGGGGTGAGCGTGCTGGGTGTATCACCCTGTATAAATAATACAATGCGTGCAGTCTTATATATATTTAGGTAATACAATGTATTGGTATTACATTATATTATTTTATTACAAATGCGGAAAGAATTTAAAAAAAAAAAACATGTTTTGATATTTTTATCAATCGAAAACATAGTTGTAGTTTGCATGTTATTATAATTATTATGATAATAATATAATATATTATAATTTATAATAATAATGACGAGTGCTCGGCACGCTGGCCTAGATCGCGTGAGTTTTCTGTACCCCCACCCTATTATATATGCACCATTTTAAATATTCGAATACAAACAATATTATCCATTACACGGACTACGAGCCACGAGGTGTATATTATAGGCCAACCGCAACACAGGACAAAAGCATAACACACACATGCGTATTATTACGACGTTTATACTTTATATAATATTAGGTATATCGATTGTGTGCGGTTCGCCGACGCCAAAGAACAGCAGCGTGTAGTAACTACACTGTAGTTATATTATGTTATATGTATACGAATATGTGATTTCGTATTATATTTATGCGGCCCCAAGTATTAGTATTAAATATTTTTTTGTTTGTTTTCCTCGCCACGAATATAGTATATGCTGTGGAAACACTATGTATATATTTCGTATATATGTGTTCATCTGCCGCTTGCGTTGGTAAAAAAAAATTGAGTTTCCTAAGTGTAATATTATATATCTACTACGTATTACATTATTAAGGTAATATTACGTATTACGTTATTAAGGTGTACGCTCCATTGCCCTTCGGCGGCCTTGACATTTTTATATCATTTATTTGTACATCGCCAGAACACGCCACGGACATTACCCGTCTTACTGCATTCGTCGTAGTACGTTTTTATTGCTGAAGAGGACTTTGATGAAATGTGGTGGGCGATCGGGAGAAACCGAGTGAAATGGATTTGGGTAGACGGTGACCGCCAGGCGCCTCCAAAATAAAGCAATTATAGTATTATAATATATAGTACTATACGGCATTGCAAGACGAGGATTTAACTACTGTGTGCAGTGTATTATTATATCGAAGAGTACTTATTGTTTCATAAACTATTAACGTTTTTTTGTTATTTTGTTTTATCGTTGAGCTTGTAATTTTGTCTTTTATTTAATGATAATGTACATTTTCAATTTCTTATTATCAGAACAGCATATTTTTCAGAGTATTTCGATTTATAAAAATCTAATTTAGGACGAGAAGGTAGCTTATAATTAGTAGTATTTAAAGTTTAGATGATCAGGTTCACTACTCAGCTTATCTAAACTTGAAATAGGTACTAATAAACTATTCGTCCGAAATCCAATATTTTTTATATCAAATCTATTCCGAATTTTTTAATATGAAAAATGCAAGTTGTCATTTTTATAAATAAAAACTTAAAAATATTTTCAAAATCGTTGGTTTTACGTTAAACGAATCACTTGCAGTGTATGGAAATATATTTCAATCATCGCGGAAATAAAACTTATAATCGTTTTACATCGATTGCATGTCCCCGAGTGCACGAACCGCACGCATGTACAATTTATATAGGTATTGTCATTCGTCATGTAGGTAGAATAATAATATATAATATTATAATTGCTAGTTGGATTCCCGGCGTCGTAGTTCTCAAATATAAAATTTACGAACCAGACATTGTCGTTTTCGAATAAAAGATAAAATTACAAATAATTATAATATATCCTCGTACATAATATGTCATTTCATTAGATCGCTCCTCGTGTGTTTAAAACTATAAAATGTTATGACTTATAGCCACATAGGTGTATAGGATCGATATTATCGTGTCACGTCGACCCAGTGTGCTGTAGTTAATATACGTCGTCGTCTTTGCACAACAATACGACATAAATAGATAAGGTATAATAATATAATATGTATTATGTATACGTATAGTATATTCGATGGTATTGTTATTTATTATTAGATAGATGTTTCGTAGGTGTATTCACGTCATTATACAATAAACACATATACAGGATGAGTCACGTTAAGAATTAGCTATAGTATTAACGATTATAGGTCAGGAAATCGAAAGGTGCAGAATTCGCTTTTGTATATTATAATACCGTATAAACGGAAGGAATCTTTTCGCGAAAAATATAGAGTATCAACATCATGCACACCGGCATACGACGATTATTATTCAGAAATATAAGTCATACCTATATATATAAACATCGAACATTTAAGAAATACCTGACGATTCACGTTTAAAGGATTATAATATACGGTTTTTGTACAATTATGTACATAACTACCTACTTGTATTATACATTTATACGTATACATTAGAACGGGGGTAGCACGTCAATCTGAACACAACAACTGCGGGTAATACCGACGGTGCGTGCGCGTGTGAGATATATACAACATTATAATATTATATAATATATAGTAGCAAATTACATGCAAAGACCTGAATATTATAACGGACGTCGCGTGCGTTCACGCTATTCATTTGTATAGCCGTATAGGGTAGTTATGCTGATGCGGTATAGCTGCTTGTATATACCTACCTGCAGGGGGCGAACATATTAAATATATTTAAATATGATTGCATATAAGGGACTAGGAAGGAGTAAGAAAACGCCAAACGTCGGACGTATGTAAAAATGTGCGTATTATCGGTCTCGATTGTCGTAAACAGCTGTATGAAATATTATTATGTTATTATGCAGTGGCATACGACTTCGGACGTGCAATATTATGTTAGCAGAAGCCAGAAACTGTGCCCGACTTACTGGGCCCTGTACGAACGTGTCTGATACACCCACCACGACGACGACTAATGACTATAATCGTGGCCTACGCGTAAATCATATATTGAAATCATCGATATTGTATCGCTGTTATTATCATAATATTACGGTTGGAGTGCGAATAGTTGCCGAGACGACCTTTCGCCGCCACCGCAGAGCTGTCCGTCCGTCATCGGTGGAATTTCGACCGACCGCTGCCAGTACTTGATGTAGCCGCGCCAAAGGTTATAATATATTATGGGTACCTACCAGCAATTATTAATAATAATAATATAATATGGGCCCGCAGTGTTTTAGATGGCGACAATAATAATAATTATTACTATTATTGAAGCAGAGGTCGACCGACCACTCCTACCCGTACGGCCGTACACGACGTTAAATGATAATAAATTGTTCATTATATTAAAACACACACTGCAGCACATTAAAGCCATTCGTATACACACACACACACGCGCTCATGATGATCGCCATTTAACAACACGCCTCGTTTTCGTACATTATATTTTACGAACACGTATACAAAACGACGATGACCTGTCAACCACTCAGCAGCTGCAGTACGCACTAATAATAAATTGTCATATTATTAGTTATTACATGAATAGAATTCCAAAAAATTTACCAACATGAGATCCTATGAACCATTTACAACGTGTACTGAATATTATGTAGTTATTGGGTTAGAGTGTTACTAGTGTTAGACACCTATATAATGCAACGTATATACAATGTATTCATGGATATAAAATAGTTTATAATTTAGTTACTAACGGTTCTCATCGGTGTCTGAACGAAAATGGTCGGAATTTATTAAAACTATAATATTAATTTACATTTATCGGTAGAGGGGAAAAAGTTAAAATAAAAAACAAACTCGAAAATCCAGTTGATTTCATAATAATTGGTGACTTTCCCAGAGATTAATAACATAATATTATAATAATATTCTATACATATCAAGACATAATAGTATGCAAACTAGAATACCTAGTTTTATTCTGTAATTAAAACCTAGTTTATAAGATGTATAAAATAATAATAAAAAAAAAAAACAAAACAGACGAAAGTATAATACTACTAACTGCTGTTCAACATTTTAAACGTGCACGCTTGTATGACATACACAAATATTCTTACATGTTAATTGCTAATTTTTAAGTATGCATTATACGAAACATTGAAGTAAAAAAAAAAAACAATGAAAATACCAAAAATACAATAATGACAATATATATCTAGAAATGTATTACACGTTATTATATTATATTAAAATAATAAACAGTTTTACGTAGTACAAAAAAAAAAGTTTACGTAACAACAGTTTAGTGGGACCGATTCCAAGAGCCGAACGAGAATATTAATAATTGTCGCGGCAGACCTAAGTAATTGTCCAAAAATTATGTACATTATGTTATGCGACAAAACGTGATAATATATAATAATATATTACAGGCGTGAATATTATTATTATTGTTCAGTCAATAATTACCTACGCTTTCTCGGTTGTCGATTTAATGAGTACGTAATAATATTATTAAATTACTGCAGCAGTTGTTATATTATTATTATTTACTAAGTAACAATAATAACGTGCTGCACTTAAACTGTAAATTATAAATAATAATATTATAATAGTATAGGTACGCAGTGCGCACGTTGAAGTGTTGAACTCTTGGAACCGAAGGATTTGAAATAATACATATTATAATTCGCATAATACCTATTACAGCCATGTATCGACCTGCCTAACCGTCGTGGCCAAGAACAAACAATATACTATTAAAACACAACAAACGCGTAAACAACACTACACGTAATAATAATAATTTATTAAATTTGATAAATTTTATTATACAGAGCTCACGTCGTCGTAAATCATTAATCGCGATAACTGCAGTTCATTTACTCGCGTTCGTTACGCGCGTGTGCGAGTGTTGCGTCGGCGAACCGAAGAAACTGCGCGAGTGCATAAAATTATAGACGACGTTACAGTAAACCACAGGTAGACTGTCGGGAAAAATAAACGGCACCACAGTACAATAATTAATACGAATATTACGAAACACGACAGCGGCGGTATCGGAAAAGAGATACGGATGAGGGGCGTAAGCACGTTATCGTTTCCCTGCAGTGCTGCTGCATTATCGCGCGGGGCTAGACGAAATACGCAAATACAACTACGGATTGTAACGGACATTGGGCGTGCAGTATAATAGTAATATTATTATAGTATTATTCATTTGGCGGTGACCGATTAAAAATAGACCGACCCGGTTACGTTAGAGCTATGCGGCGGATAAGAGGGTAACGTGCGCCGCGGCTGCAGTGGGCCAAATCCCGCTCGAAACACGCGTATTGCGACAATAATTTACCAACGCCAACATCGTAATATTATTATGTTCTATGCATAGAATCATTATGGAACATTACACCGAACTACGTTCGAATCGTGACAACTATAATATAATAATTATACAGCAGGTACGATAATAGCGTACGGGCAACTACACTCGTATTCGATTGTACCGGCGAGCGCGAGCAGGCAATAAAAATAAGCGCGCACCGCGGGCATACCATACCCATTCGTGGCGATCAATACGCTGACGCAATAAATAATAATCGATTTTTAAACAAAAAATTCAAAACAGTAACTGCTTGAGAAGGATGTCGTCGTCGTCGTCCTCGCAGCCGTCGTCGTGTGGTAGACGGCAGTACTGGTTAGGTGGTACGATCCCAGCAGCATTATAGCGGTACATGGTATAATAGTGACGGACGGCCGGACAGTAGAAAAATGGGCGCCGAAGTGTCGTACCAGATAGTGCATTTACATGATTTGGGAACGGCGAAAACCGTGTGTCCATGTCAAAAACACTTCTGGTACGGTCTTCGTGCACCCGTATATGAAACGTGTTGGACGACATATTGTGTACGCGGTGTGTGGAGAATGGCGGACGAGTAATATCATACAGAGTGAACGAAACGAAAACGAACGGATACGAAAGATACGAACACCGAACGCGGACGACTCGTGCGACGCGGGTAGTGAACAGCGAGAGAACACACAGACTGCGATGCGACGGCACGCGAGCACACCCGTAGGCACTACGCCGACTGTTCGCCGTTCGCGTAACGGCGCGCGCCGCCGCCGACGGTCGGTCTCTGCTGCGATTGCCTGCGAACGACCGAAGAATGAAATGAACGACATGTAAGCGGCCGCGTCGGCGGCGCGGTGGTGGGCGCCAGCCAAAGCCGTGGCGCGGCGGAAGGGCGCTGCCACACTACGACGTTGCACAATTGTGCGCTTGACGCCCGTGCTCCCGTGTATTTTTGTGAGTGTGTGCTAGCGTGCAACTGCGGTGGCGGTGCATCGCACGTCAGAAGCGGTGAGGGGGGGAGCGTCCGGCCCTACGCAAATCGTGTGTCCGTCGTAGGAAACTATAAACGCGCGCGATGTCCCCCTCGTCTTTCTACCGCATGCGAAATCAAGCCGCGTAACCACCGCAGCACCACACCCACCCCAACCCACGCCTAGATGGGACAGCCGAGGTTATATTATTTTCTCTGCGAGCGAGTTTGTACAATTACTTCAACCCCCGTTGACCGGTTTCTCAGGTTATATGAGGATCTTAAGAACGGATAGAGGACACCGTCGTGCGTCGTCGTTATCATAATATATGGAAAGAAAACAGCGATTAATAAAGTCACGAGCGTGAACTCCAATCAAACAATGTAATATTATATTATGTTATCCGACGAGTGTCCATATTTGCGAAACAAATATTATAATATCGACTAAGGTCTAAGAACAACACAGCTGAAGTATTGAATAGTTCGAGACAATGAAAATCCATCGCGAACAATTCGATTATGGCAATACGAAACCAAACATTAGTTTATATAATAAAATATAATCATTCGATACATGCGATGCTGTCGATATTGGACTCCCGCGTTAAATAATGTTTGCCGCACGCGATCACAATGAACCGTACACTTCAGTGGGTATTTGATTATTAATTTATTATATCGGCATTCGCGTTTTTAATGATAGGGAAACACCACGACGACAGTGTCAGACAGTGATATTTTTATGTCTATAGACATGTTTTATAGTGTGTATAATGCTATATAGTATATATCATATTATTATTATATTTTTTTATATTAGACCAATGTTGATGTGCAGTTGTCAGTTGACTAATAAAATCTCACGTCAAATAAGGTTTATAAATCAGTGTATGCAATGTAGCTCCCGCAATTAAACAGAATATAGGTATTAGGTATATTACATCAATTAAAACATGAATTTTCAATAAAAACTCATTAAGCGAGATTAGCATCAAGATAACTGCGCATAAAAATAAATGTATTAAGTATTTTATAAGAAAACCGCCACTATAGCCAAAAAAATAAAAATACACATATTCACACCCAGACCACAGTTAAAATGTTACTAGTTTACATTTTTATTTCAGCGATATAATTCAGAAAGTATTCCATATTGTTTAAATAAACTATACCGTACACTTATCAAGTATAACATTTACATATTATTACATTATAAGTTTTCAAACAAAACCAATTTAAAAACGAATTTCCTAGTAACATACTAACATTATAATATAAATCGATTCAATTAATTCGATAACATTTTAGAAGATCGTATATATTTCTATAAACTGGACCTGTTTAGATGGGTTCTCGATGATTGAATTGGCATGTACGCAATATAATTCTAATAGTCCGTTCAAATTAGGAACAGTAAAATTTGCAACAACAAAGTTTGGCAACCGTCATATATGTGCTATCAATAAACGTCCTAATCGAAACGGACGTGGCCCATTTGGCAAAGGGGTTTAAGTATGCGGTGGAGTATACACGATCGACCTACACTATTAGATTTATATTCACCTGTCTTTTATTTTGTTTTATTCTTTCGCACAATAGATTTTCTGACAAGCTATAGTGCGATGGAAAAGGATAAAAGAACGAACGTGAGAGTGTGAGAGGGACTTGGGTAGAGAGAACGGGAGCGGGAAGGAAATATGTAAGTATATACATATAGATAAAAGCCTCGAGAAAAGTGTACGGTAGTTGTCGGGGAGTGGGGTAGAAGGGATTGAAGAGAGAATACAACATTAAGTACTCGCCGCAATGCACCACTGACCCAGTTCAGCCGTGGGGTTTCGTGCCACGCGTCTCTTGGCCCTTATAACCATTCTCTCACTATCTCTCTCTCCCTCTCCCTCATCCTCTCTCTTACATGCGGGTATTTTTATTATTACTCAACGGTATTGTAATGTTTAAACACGTCATTTTTTCCGAACATCAGTCAGACTCCGACACAAGTTTAATACACTTTTAACATTTTCCCGAATTGAAATATGACGTATGGCAAAAGTAAAACCAACCCTAAAAACTTAATTTATTTTGTAAAATTATTCAAATTCCGGGATACGTGTTCGTAGTTCGTACAGTATATTTTGTATTCTTCGTATTTACATTTAACCCGACAATTGCGAAACTGATAATAATCCGTCAAGGTCTATATTTACAAACTAGATGGCGGGGCTGAGTGAGAAGGAAAACTACCTCCAACGCGAACGTTTATTGAGTAGCAGCTGGCGGAACGAAAAAATTCTAAAGGAACGGTCATTTCCGGACGAGGCTCAAACGGCCATATTTTTAAGCTGGATGCATACACCAAAGCCTCTGAATTGCCTACTCATTACGCCCTCAATGATATTAAATTACGCAACGAAATATTTAAATTTTTTACACTATGTTAGGCTTGGGCGTGGTTTTTAATTATTTTATATTCTTTAAAAAAAGAAAAACTATTTAACTATAGACTAAAATATTTGTAGAACTTAACAATTAGTTGAATAATAATTTTAGAGTTTTATTAGTGGATGAGTAAAAATATTATGATTTAAAAATTAACCGAATTAATACATAATAAGTATTTATAAAAATATAAAATACCTTTATTTAATTTTAATGACAGAATTGATTAAAAAGCAGTAACAAATCTATCATTGAATGGATTAAAGAATTTAGGAGTAAGTATTATAATTTACTTTTTTAATATCATATATTTAAGCGGTATTTTAAATTAGACTTCAACAACTGTATCTACGTATCTATCACGTGTAATTAATATATGTTACATAATTTGAAAACAAATTCCACCAGAAGATAATATGATCAGTACACAAACCACAACCTTGACCATTCATATTTAATATCATTTGCACATGATTGAATGACCAATCAAAAGACCTTCACACAATCTAGTACTTAATTCGAGTAAACGTCAGAATAAATGAAGTAATATAAAAACAATTTATAAACTATTGTTAATTATCGTCATGTTATTTTATAAAAAATACCTAATAGAATTATTATTTTACGTTTGAAATCAATATTTTAAACACAAAGTATTATTTTCATTGAATATATATTCAGTCTTTGAAGTTCTACAAATTTAAAAATAAATTAAAATTTTAAGCAAACAATAATTAACGAAATTTAAGAATAAATAAAACATATTTAATATGATTTTTTAACACATTTTGTTTTACATAATAATTCAAACTTATTTAGTACAATTAATGTCGTTTAATTTATGTTTAAAAAGCACTAGAAAATAATCAAAAGAATGCATGAACAATATTTAAAATTTTATGAAAATTCAACGAACAAAGAGCACGATACAAAGGTACCTTACAGAAGAAAATTTAAATTTAGACGGTCTCTGCTGTTTTAATTTAGGGCTATCTTCTTTGTTAGTTTACGGTACTATAAACAATTTGTTTAGAGCAATAAATTCAAAGCAATTTATAGCCTTATTATAGTCATACACTCACTACTCAGTACTCACTAATCGTGTATATAATATTATAATATATATACAGGTTTATAAAAATTAATTTAAACACTGGAATTTATGTAACTGTTATAATACAAAAATATAAAAATCAAGTTCATTTTTAAAAACATATAAATTATTTAATTTATATCTAACTGAACCTTAACCCATTAAATTTAATAATAAATCAAAAATATAAGATACTAAAAGTCGTATATTAAAAAGTGGTTGGTAGTGTCGTAAAATACTAAAATCTTCTCTGATTATAAATACCTAGCATTTAAATATGTATATTTATTTTTTAAATTGTTATTACCTAGTTTATGTCTTCTATTATTACAACTATGAGCTCAAACCAACCTCATTAGTCATTAAGTATAGATTGTATTGTTAAAAGACAATCTACGGCACACACATTATTACTGTTCAAAATGGCAATTAGTCAACCAAAATGTAGAGTAACTTGAGTAAACGAGTAGTTTACTTTACGTAAGGTGTTTAATAACTAGTCGCCATAATATAAACGATATTTTTTACTGTATAGTTTATTTTAAATCATTTTAATTAAATATGAATAATTGCGAATTGCTCGCTTATGAATATTTATTAAAAAGGGCAAAGTAATAACTAACAAGTTGCGACTTACGAACAAAATATATTGTAGGAAATAAACAAAATGTATTTAATAATGGGTACATATTTAATTTTAAAATTCAAATAGTTGGATTTGATATGTTTTCTGATAAGGATTTTAGCAGTTTTTCTGAGTACATACATAATATAAATAAATACATTAAAATACGAAGAAGGTTAATTATTATCTAATATGTACCCAACTGTTGTTGTTCATTGATATAAAGCATGTGATGTTTAAAAAAAAGATATGCTTAAATTAAATAATACCACTGTATTTATTGCTCCAAATATTATTTTAAATGAAAAAAAATAATATTTATTATTTTAACAATGAATATTAAATTATGCTTAGGTATTTAATAATTATTATTTTATTGCGCAAACATAAGTGATTTCACCATATTTTAGATAAATAAATTAAATCCTCTATAAATTAAAACTTCTCCTTCCTGCCACTACTATCTGATCCTCAAATCAAACCTCGAAGATCGGTTCTTTTCCGTACGTGTAGGTTCTTCCTTTTCCTCTCCTATTGAAATAAAAGCAGGCGTACCACAAGGCGCAGTAATTGCTCCCCTACTCTTCAATCTCTACATAACTGACCAGCCTACTTCACCTCATACTTTAGAATAATAATTTTCACCTTAGAATTAAACGATTTGCGCACCGGGGAGCGGGGATGATAATATTACTACTAATAAGTAATAATTATATGTAGAGATACAAAAACCGAGAAACGGCAAATGGCAATAAAAACTTAACAGCACTGCGCAACCATACGCGTGGTTTTTTCTATTTGATTAATTTCCGCAAGCCGCAAGAATGACCGCGATAACATAATGACAATATTATGTTATAATTTTTATTAATATTATTATCACTATACTTTTCAGAACCGACGATAGCGTCAAATTGTATTTGTTTGTTCTCACAATTCCACGACGGCGTATTTACTATTATTATTATTATTATTAATTACAATATGATATTATAATAAGGCTACCTATTTTAATACACGCATAATCGTATATTCGTATCAATATTATCATCACAAATTGCGTAGATACATGGTTATGATCGAGGGTTTATAATTAACTATAATATTGATAATCTATAGCGTTATTATTATTTATTACACAAATTATAGTATAACGTTAATTAATATTATACATGAGGAGGGTTAATCCAGCGGTGTGATGCTGTCCGTAGTAATTGTTCTGCGATGGAACTGAGATACCACCAGCTGTGTTCACTCTGATTTCATCGAATAATTATCGAAACAACATGACAAGTTAACACAGCGAGGTTCCCAGTCCCACACGACAGAATGGTCGTTGCGGCTCTCTCTATCTGTCTGACTGCAACGAGTAGCGATGGTGTGTCCGTAAAAAAATCCGCGAGTCCATAACCGCTGGTGCGATCTGTCGTCCACGTGTGGCGGTAACACGCGCCGTCTTTTACCCATAGATCGCGCTGCGTGTACCATGCCAAAACCAGACTGATTCGTTTTATTAAATAAATAGATTAAAAAAAAAAACAAATACACTTACAAAAAACTATTACACTCTACAACTACGGAACTATACTCTGCCAGATGGTGGCGGTGATGGGTGCGGGTGGATGTCTTAGACAACGAGATAGGCGAATAACAATATCGGTTTTTAATCGTCGTGTTTTTGCGCACAACGCAACGAACTGGTACGTGAAGTGTTTTGTTTTTATTGAAATATCAATGTTAAACGCGATAATTATTATTAAGACGCATGTGAGAAAAATCTTGAATAGACAACCACCATCCTCACCACAACCACCTGCATTGGCGAATGACGAAATCAAGATTTATAGCCGACCCTTCACACCCCACTAAATACGTCGTATTATCGTCATAATATTATATTATTCGACGAGAGTGTTAAGCAAACTAATATGGTGCAGGTACTCACAGTTTGTTCTTGTGCGACTCCTTCACCTTGTCGTCGCCTTCGATCCGATAAATCTTGCCGTACATGACATACTCGAAACTGTCGGCCCGGCAGCCGTTTTGATCCATTTCTATAGGGTTCCAATCGCCAGCGTCAGGCTGTCCATCCTCGCGTAACGTGGTGGCCAACACCAGTCGGAATTTATCACCTGTAACGAAAAATTTCCGTTTTCAAACACGTCTATTCCGGCTCGTCTACGGGTTTTCATTATTTTCTTTTTATGTTTTTCCACATCCGAGTTTCCCAAAGTCATAATTATGAGACTTATACTATATTTGCAGGCACTCTAGGAAACAGGTCGAATAGAAGAAAAAACCAGAAACGTTAAACACGAAACCGGTTAGACTTAATAATTCTATTCTTACATCACCGCATAAGCATATATTCACAGGACCACCAGACCACATACGTAAATATTAGCTGCTGCAGAGAATGAACATACTTGTATACTTAGTACCTACCTGGCTACCTATCTACTCCGTACGATCGTGAATGCAAGAGTACGAAATGTTTTAGGAAGGATTTTGAGCGGATATTACGATTTCTGAGAGAACTGTATTATAATACTTATAATCGATTCGTTGAGTTCAGTTCAACGTTGCAAATACCAATAGTAGGTACCTATTTAATATGTACAGTTATCTAACCTACTACCCCAGTGAGTGGTTGCAGTGAAATTTAATAGTCTGTTGGAAATTGAGCATTCCATACCCTTTCTCTTAACAATATTATTTTCTATTATAATTATTTTGAATAGTTGACAGAACGAGAAAGATTAGTAAAACAATTCTGTAATCCAACGTATGCATAATATTAAAATGTAATTGATTTCATAAATTGTATTAAGTATTTTATACGCACATTCGTAATACGTTTAATATTAGTGTTTGTAAAATATTATAATGGTAGTGTCATAATATTTTCAGACTTTAAACGATCAAAAGTTTTTTTTTAAGAAATAACAATAATATATTATTTAAAAAAAATTTATAATATCTTTTAGGTGACAAAATTTTTTTTTAGATAAGTGGTACTATACATACTATAAATTATATAAAGGATCTAAATATGCTATATACGATATACCTGATTATATAATGACAATTATAAATTCAGTGCGAAAATGTAAGTTCAGTTACATAATAAAATGTATACATGTTTAAAAAATACGAATTTCATAATTTAATTCCTCAAAAATAAAGCAAGTACCTACTGAAAGAATTATAACAGAATTACATTTAGAAAATCTCAAAATTATTCATTACATATTTATCATTGAAAACATGTATAAGATGAGTAGACAAATAGATAGAAGTTGGTGTTGTAAAAGAACCTGTTTATATACACCATAATATTATATACAAACATTTTAGTTATTACTCATTTTGACACTTGGAATCCTGATATAGTGATATCCATATATATAAATATAGTATATACTATATACCTACTATAAAAATCAAATTCTTGAAAACCAGTTTTTAAACATGACTAAGATATTATCTTATATTCGAAATTAAATTGTACACTTCAATTAGATAAAATTATTTTTTCCAATGCATTATTATTCATCATAGATAAGGTAAAATAAAATTATAGATAACAATAGTATTTTAATAATAAAATAATTTAAGCTAAAAATAATTAATATAACATGTATATAACCTACCTAATACGAATTCAATTTTAAATATTTTCAATTTAATCACTGTTATAATTAAAATTATAATACGCACGTGGTTCAACTATAAAGCTTTGAATAAATAGGTACTCAATTAGGTTTGAACTTTGCCTCTTTATAAGTTTAATAGTAGGTATAGGTTTATAATAATATATTGCACATTTGCACCCAGTACTATTATTTATCAACATTGATTCAAAATTTAAAATATTATCTGAAAAATCAATATAAGCAAACATTGTTCATTATCATCACAAGCCTTTAAACTTTCATTAAATGACTCTTATCTGACCTCTTTGTACTTGTCAATCTAATGAAAGTAGACGTATTGATCTTTCCCACACCTTATTTCACCATCTTTCACTCAACGTGTAGAGTATTCACACGAGTATACTATTCAGTTGTATTCATTCTTTTAAATTGACATAATATTCCATAACTTTTTCATCAATCTCACTACGATATCGGAATCAATCATAACATAATATTAATATATTATTCATAATTATTTAATCATTCATAATATATAAACTCGTTTACACTGGTATTGGTTATTTCGTTGTATTTTGTTATTGTCATTTATTTATAAATTCTTCGTCTACATTAATTTACTATTAAAGGTAATAAAAATATATTATATATATATAAAAATAGGACAAGATATTGAAATCAAATGGCAGACGATAAATACTTATTTCATTTTACGATGGTACCTTTTATATAAAAATCAACAAATTTTAAACTGGTTTCTTTGCAGAGATCGACTAAAACCATTTACGATTGGTAGTTTATGAAAAATTACAGAACAAATCAAATAATGATCAATTCTGCAAAGTACTATCTTGTTATCTTGACCCGGATTCCAATCAATATAATATATTGATGGATATAAGATAGCAGGCCAATATATAATTAACTTTAGAAGTCTTTGTTCGAAAGTCTTCAAAGACCCAGAATCTAACACATACTTAATAGTTATTAAATGTTTACATATATGTATTAGAAGTAAAGCCTAAAGGTACAGTAGATATAATCAATTTTAAAACCACTTAATAAGTAAACGTCATATTTATTTATTTATAATTTAGAGAATCGAAAACTTTAAAGTAAGTAGGTACTTTAAAAATAATATTGTACCTACTGTTGAGTATAATAAATTATTCAGTATTAGATTTTGATCACAGTAAAGGCCCACTAAAGGGTCAATAAATGGAGGTCAGTCTTGAATATTGTATGACAGTTTATGGTTTAAATAATATGTATGCATTGAATTTGTGTTTATCAGAAACAAAAAACACAATTTATGGAAACAGTGAGTGTAAAAAAACAATACATACTTCCATTTGATATAATTATTTAATTACATATTTTATTTGTACAAAATAATTTTATTAATAAATAGTATAATGTTAATTTTATTTCAAATATACTTACTATCATTGGTAATATTCAATAAATAAATAAAGGCAAAACAGTGAAGCTATAAGAGTCGGAAGTATATACCCAAAAACAAATATATTATATTACAGTTATTGTATAGCTAGTATAATACATCATAGGTTTTAATGTTGTAAATTATTTTATATCAAATATTACTATTTATCAACTAAAAGTTATAAAAGTTCTTTTATAACTAAAATATATTGCCTAACCTACATATATATATGTATATAAGTCTATTATATAAGATATAACTCTAGAGGCCTCTAGACTCTAGACTCTAGGACTCTAGGGCCCAATAATAAATCATTTTATGAAAGAATTTTTCTAGCTATAGCAATATTTGTTTTTTATTCAAATAATTGATGATATCAATTCATTTGAAATAACATGAAAGTTATTCCTTTTAAATTATAAATTACCTATATACCTAATGTAATAGTATGTACTAATTGCGTTTACTTAAAATAAAATCAATACCTATGTGGTTATGCATTAGTATAGGTACCTATATATTCCACAAGACCATAATATTAAAGTAAGAAATTGATTTAATTTTCGTTTATTACCGCAACTATAATATTACGATAAATTATATTATTATACTAAATTATAGTAGATTTACAATACCTATGATTATATTATTGCAAATATTTTTTTTATGTGTTAATAGTTTTCAGCGTAAAATTATGTAATGTTTCTTTGTAAAATAGATTTTTGGCAAACACATAGTCACAGCAGTGATCAAATTACTGTGGTAGTTTCTGCGAACCGATACTTTTTGAAACTGCTTTTCGTCTTTTTTTAATGTTATTAATTATTATATTATATAGGTACTGTTTTTATTTGAATGCTTCACATGTACTGTAGATGCGTCATTATTAATATTTTTACCATTGGATCAATTATACCACCATACAGACGGTTACCGCGAATACCGAAAATCGCCGGCGGTTTACTACGTCTCCGGAGTTTATCGTTTGAATATCATTAATTCCCCAGGTAAAAAAGTTGGCTGGTCGTCTGAGAATGTTTTAACATAATATAACACTATAACAGAAGGTAGTGGGTATTAATTTTAGTACGATGACGCCCGATAAAATAATATGGTAGGTAATAGGTTGGATAATAATAGATTGCTTATTATTGTACCTAAAATTACTAAATATTATCCCAATATTCCACATTAAACGTTAGCGATTGTCCTGCAAGTGCATAATCTCGAATCTCCGTTCTCCGTTGTAAGTACTAAGTACCCAACGCGACGGAGACGTTATAGTTTCGCCATAGTTTTCTCTCTCAGAACTTGATCCATGGAACCCTCTCCCCAACCATTCAACCCTCGAAGGACACCGTGTGAAGGGGGCCACGGTTACCACGCGCATTCCTGTTCGCGCAAGTCTTACCGATTTTCTTTTTTATTGTTTACCATACAATATTTATTGCACACACAAACATCCAAAGGGAAAATTATATACATTGCTTATACCGAATTACCCTGTACCTACATAATTTCAGTGGTGCGTGTAGGTATCTGTAAATGTGGCGGCGGCGGCAGCAATGTCGAAGGTTCGAGCGTGCGCGCGGCAAGCAAGCGAGCGATTGGCGGCAGCGGTGCGAGATGAAAATATTATATACGAGGAGTGGTGAGAGGGTGAGAGAGAGAGAGAGAGAGAGAGAGAGAGAGAGAGAGAGAGAGTGAGAGAAAGAGCGAACGATAGGGGCCGAGAGCGAGAGTGAGTGCGTCGCGTTCGACGTCCCGCGTACAACCTTGGCACTGAGAACCGCCCGTGCGCATTTAACCTTGGCATTGAAAACAACGACGGCGCACGGTAGGACTGGCGGGCGGAGAAGACTCGCGCTGAAATCGCGATGGAAACGCGGCGCCGCGCCGGTCGACGGACGGACGGTGCGGCGGGCGTGCGGAGCGCCTGGCGCGCGCGCGAACCACACGGAGGGAATTCTCGGTGAAGGTGGGAACGGGGTAACGGTTGACATGCGGGTAGTGGAGGGGTGGTCAGACGAGAGTGGAAGCGAAAAAAACAGTCAGACCGGCGCGTCAGAGACCTGACACACTACGCCGGGTGTTGCGTCATTCCACCGGCGGAGAGTACGTGCGCGCGTTTGCGGGCGGCGGGTAAGCACAAAGGTCGGTGGTGGTGGGAAGGGGAGGGGTGGTAGCAGGCGAATCGATCCGATGGCGAGTGCGTGTGTGTGTCATGTGAGTGTGTGTGTGGCACATCACCAGCTGACGGCGGGGGCAACCTTGGATAATATTATTTTTCTTTCGAACACATCGCGGTATTATAATAGTGCGAGAGATAAAATCCCCTTCCCAAATGAGTTTTTCATTTTTTTTTTATTTAGCAATAGTCACTGTAAGGTACTACACCGCGGAGATAATATTATTATTTCGTATTCCGAACTGAAGCGTATGGCAGTTTTTCAGTTCGGCTGAATATAACAATACGCGCAAAATAATAATATAATACGTAGATACTTCTATATTGTTGTTATTTTGATGAGTTTCTTTTGTAGGTATATAGTGTGCCTATATATATTATTTTCATTTTCTTCTTTTTCGCGACACATTAAAATATATTTTTAAGATACTTCATAACTCATAACATACTTACATCTGAGAGGGCGTTTGGTGAAACGAACGACAAATTTTCATTAAATATTCTCATCGATACGACCGCGTGATTATATATTGTGTCGTTATTACGCCCCGCGAAACATAACGTTTTATCGGAAGCACAGACACGAACAGCACGTAAAAAACGCGTAAATATTCACATATCAACATTTTCATTTTGGCAACTGTTCAATATTACAATTAGACGGCAATGATGTATAACTTTAAACAATTTTATTTTTGGGTTTCCGTGGGAAAAAATGCGCGGTTAAATACACAACTTGTGCTGGCGTTTTCGAGAAAACGAAAAGCGATTAAATAAAAAAAAATGAATCAATTATAGTTTGTAATATGTACAAGTGTAGGTACAACTATAATATGAAAAGGATTTCAAAAAAAATATTTAATCGAGTTCTTATGCGTAATGTAAATAATCTAATTTTGTATACAGTAGTGAGCACGTATTGTTTTACAAAAATTGTTAAAATTATTCATAAACCATCGTCTCAGATGATCTCTATTTTATAGAATTTTTATAAAATTAACCGACTTGAGTTCAGTATCTCCAAAAATATATCATTACTTTGTGCACATTTTATTTTTTTTTGCAAAATATGTGTTTAAATAATTAAAACTGAATAATACTATTTAATGAACAATTTACAAAAAAACATAATAGTTTTATAATTCTCAAACTTATAGGCAATAAGAAAAAAAATTTGTTTTAAACAGCTTTATATAAACACATAATTTTAAGAAAAAAAATGAACAACATTTTAACATTTTTAAAAATAATTTGATGTTAAGTGAATTTAAGAGATTAAAATGACGGAAATTCATAATAAATTATCATAAACATGAACAAAAAAAAGTGGTTAAAATTTGCAAAACGTATTATTCAAACCCATCTAAATTACCACAGTGACATATTTTTATAAATATTTTATATCAAATTCTAAAATCTACTAAAAATAATCGGCATGGTACTTACGTAAATTATAAAGTGAAATTATTAATTATCTTTTATTTGTTACCTACACTAGCTCACGAGGTACATACATCAATTTCGATTGTACATGGTATACAATACTTTCTGCCGAATTAAATAGCCGAAGGCCTTATGTCGTTGGAAATCGGAGACGTATTCGCGCCATTTAACGGGGAAACGGAATTCACGTTCTCGGTGCCGGAGGAGGGGATTATTGTAGACTGAATGATTTATTTTCGGTTTAAATCGGATATTCGGATGGAATTTGGCAGTGAAGTGTCTTAAGCGGGTCGAGAAATTCCTCTCGGTGTTTTCGTAAATCGCATAATATTGTTATCAAAATGAAAACATCACTTCAACACAAGTCTGGTCGTTTCGGACAGAAAAGAAGAAAAAACATATGAGGGAGAATCAATATCCACGGCCAGTCCGCAATTATTATATTATTTTAACGAACAAGCGTAATATTATAATATTATAGCTGACATATTAACCACAGTATTAATAAAAACTAATTTTTAACATAGTAATTTTTATGGAAATATATAAATATTATAATTTATAATATTATTAACAATGAACGACGATTATTACCGGGTTCCGTATAGACATCGTCCACAGCGTTTAACGGACTTGCATATTACAATATTATAGCTGCACAATACTCACACTGGCTGCTTTGTGGCCATCGTATAGTCCGATAGTGTATTTCAATAGTGACGACCTATAGTCCACGCGCATATCGTCAATATTATGTTAACATTATAATATTATTATCTATACGCATAAACTATAGTGCGTACACATTTTGCGCGAAAACGGCTGCGCAAATAATATTATCGGCAAAACAATAATTATTATTATAATAAAATTTCGAGACGACGAAACGCGTACATAATACTATAATATTGTAATATAACACAACTAATATATTATAAATTATAATATAATATGGTATCGCACAGATTTTTGCCGCCTAAAACCATAATAATAATATATGCCACTATACAGAATAATATTATTAAATATTTAATAAATAGTTTAACTTCAATTTATAAGTTATCAAAACGCGAAACGAAAAATATCGTGCGAATGGTTTTTTTTTTTTTACCGTAAAAGTGGTTGGCATTACGGTGGCTGCTGCTTCTGCGGTGGCAGCGGTGGAGGTCGGCCGCGCGCGCGTGTTGTTTGACAAAGCGTTAAGCGGCTGCGGCGGCGAGGAAACTACTAACGCCATCGTCGTTGACGCGTTCTTATGGCGACGTGCGACACACAGTGGCAGCATATACGAGTATATGACGGTAAACGGTGGCGGTGACGGTGGTGATGACTGATGACAGTGTATGGTACGCTGATGAGCGACGGGAGTGCACTTGCGACTGCCGTGCGGTGGGGTTTTCGAAAAACCCGCGAGAGCAGACAAAATATTACTGCATCGTACCTAACCTACGTGTCGAAAACTTTCGCACCAACCCATTCGGGGCCTCCCGTTCGGCGGCGGCGGCGGAGGCGCGCACGCACGTTTTGCCAAATTTACTGACGGGCCGGCGGGGTTGGCGGGACGGGCGGGCGTAGGAGTATACTCTAGGCGCCTCGGCTGCTGCCGCCACTGACGACGACGACGTTCTGCGGGCAGGCGGGCGGGCGCGCGCGTGCGCGAGCGATCGTATAAAATGTGTACATATTATTATTAAATTGTGTATGATATCTCGTACGGTACCGCCGGGCCGGAGCAGAGGCGAGCATAATAATATTATATATACATATAGGTACTCTAAATGCGAATATAATATTAATTATTATTACCTGAAATAATAAAAGAACAAAAGAACGCAAATTTTTGTGTAAAAGATTACGTGGGGTACACAGTATAATACAGCTGCAGAACGGTAAAAATGGTTAAGCGCGTAAAATTATATTATACTCGGATACGGCACGAATACACGATAATGATTATTATTTATTATATTATATCGACCGTGCGCCAAAAAAAAAATCAAACGATTGAAAAATCGTTTTCGGGGATAAAGCGGGTCCTATATTCATTATTCAAATCGCACTTCATATATCTGCACATTTATTTATACATTTTATTGATTCAGCCGTCCGGGATTGTTAAAACTAGTATTTTAAACAATAGAAATGCTGTTTATTGATTAAAAATCCAATCTCTCCTCTTACCTTTCAATCTTGCTAAACATTTAACTGACTAAATCTTTAGATAGGTATAGTTCGTATGTTACTCGTAACCGAGTGATGAGTCTGCTACGGTCGAAGTGACGCAAACAGCGGCACTTAAGTAAGGGTATCACGTGCTTAAGACCGGTAAAATAGTATACTATTGTCTCTTCTAGTAGTATGTAGTTAGAATACTAGATTCAGGATTCTACAAGTATAATATATATATACTAGACTTATATTAACTTATATTATTATCCTATACAGGAAGTCTCACGGTAAGTTTTTTTTATATTAAATTTAGATAATAGACAAAAATTACTTTAAATTATAATAATCTGTAACTCTCTTCCACTTCAATCATAATTTTCTTCAACTTATTTCGAAATAATATCATTATATAGTATATACACACTCACCCAAATCCATAGGATAAATCCACGAATTGATATCCAAGATCAATTCCATCTTGAACGATTCGCTCTCGCAGTGCAAACGGCTCACTGAAAAAACAAATAAAAATTAAGGACATAATAATAATATGACATACACAACATTGCTATACTGTGCTGTTTTACATACACACAGCGCACACAATAGCTGCAACAGTAAGCAATGTCAATCAGAAAAAAATGATGTTATTTTCATTCACAAATGAAAATTATATACAATATACATATAATAAGTAAGTCATCAGGTCATGTAATATAATATATATAATATATACATGCACAGTATACAGAATAGGTCAAATTCATAAATACTGGTCAGCTTCAGCTATTGGAAACGAAAGAGAAAACGCGGTAATAGGTTATCAAATGTAAGATAGAGCAAATATTTGTACTAAACATACATTTATAGCTCATATTAATACTTTTAAAAATATATTACGTTTGGCAAATGCAAATATATTGGTTCAGTGCATCTTATAGTATTAATCGCGAGATTAATAAGTATATAGTAGGTAAAAACTAACAGAATTCATAGATTTTTTAGAATAGTAATCATAATAATAATTATTTATTTTTGAGGAATGCAAGAATAAAATGTATAAAACATTTATAAAAACATCTATAACGGCAACAACAATAAAATACTTAGCAATCGTCTAGAATTGAACATTAAAAACAAAATAAACATAACAAGTATACCAATAGTTCCTAATCAGTTCAATAGGATCGCCAATAAATATTTCGATGCGTATATAGTACATAATTAATATTTAATATAGAACAACCAATTTACTAAAAAAAATCAATCGCGATCATATTTGTGCTTTATAACAAATGTATACAAATGTACGTAAATATATAATGATTCCCAAAGTGTTTGGACTTTCCGCTAACAGTAGATCGTTTTACGAGATCGTTAGACGCATCATTTTCAAATTTCTCTGTGATAACCAAAGTACGGCCCTCTCGCCAGCATCAATACGGCACCGTAATCGATTCACCGCCGTCATATTCAACTTAGTTACGATAATGAGGAGTAGTGTTGGGGGCGACCTCATTGGTTCCCTCTAGACTTAGTTAATTATTTTTAATATATAAATATCAAAAATTATAATTTATTCAGTAAACACCTATTATAAAAGTATTATCATTATAATATAATAAGAATAAAACGTAAGTATACTTGGACAATATATACATATATAGGAGTATGAAAACATCTTTTTTTTTTTGCATATTTTTTTTTATGCCACGGTACTAAATTTACTAACCTAACCTTGAATATTTGTTAAAAACTGTATTGCAGTTATTGTAATGTTTTATTGTGCACAAGGCACAAACCGAAAATAGTGTTCATCTCAAAATACATTTTTATGATAGCCCCAATGCCTCGAACATGTCGTACAAATATCGAATACATTTATCACCCAATTTCCACGTGATGTTGTTTATAATACCAGCATATATTAAACTTATTGCGCTTGTATAACCGTATAGGTAAATGGTAAATAAATAAATAAATCTACAAAATAATACATATTTCTGTGCATATATATGTTGATATATGTATAAGTTCGATATTGAGACGATGTACTAAATAGCAAAATCTGTTAAACTGCGATTCAGTCAATAGCGTTTAAATTGAACGGCAATGACGCACTTCGTACGGTTACAAGGTGGTGGCATGGCGTGGGAGTGAGGGGAAAGAATAAGAGAGAAACGCACACAGCAAAACGAATCTGTTTATAAATAATATGTGTGCAAGATGAACGTCGTCATTATATAATAAATAATAATCATTAAAATATTGTACACACAAGCAACTTAACAGGAAAGTAATAATTCCCATAATATCATTATTATACTCTATTTGAGGTCGTACGGTAAACCAAGACACTACGTTTTCGTTTTCGTGGGGCTTTATAAATGAGCTTCAAAACTTATTTTTAGTCAAAAGTAGGTAAATGTAGGTAGTAGGTACCTACAACTGATATCATATAATATGTGCAGTGTACATTGTACATGCCAATTTCATATTCATATTCATCGATTGTAATTTGACGACGACCAACTATCACTAAAATATGCTATGACGAATAATTATTTAACTTTTTTGGATATAATGACTTACGATATACTACATAATTGATAATAGTATAATTTTTTTCTTTATTGAGATTTTAACATAAAATGATTGTATCTCAATATTAATATAATTGTACTAATAATAAATAATAATAAAAATAATTGGTATTGTAACGTCCAATATCCACAGATAGTATGAAAAAATATATGTAAAAAAAAAAATAATAATAATAATAATTCGCCGCACTGCGATAACGCGACAACTACCTGTAAACAACGGTACATTTCGGCTCTTAAACTATAGTATAATATATCACTCGTATTAGGTACCTATAGAATAGTGTATATCATTGTGCATACACAGGTGTGGCTCATGTGTGTATAGTAAATTAATTTGGTAAAAGACAAAACAAAATGGCCGACAAACTGGTAATAAAAATCATTATTTTTGAACAATTAAATTATTTTGTATACAATATTATTGTTGTATTATAATTATTATGGCTTATATTACCCGAATATGTCGTCGCCGTAGTAATTATTTGCGTTTTTACATATTATAATTATTAAATCCATATCCATGTGTATATAATACACATAATATATATATATATATATTAAATATATATGTTATAAAGCATACTATGAATTAATATAATATAGATATGTACACATTGTATATATTTCATTTTAAATTATATTTTCAAATTTAAAAAACATGTATTACAAAAACATTGGTAAAAGGTGCAAAAATATGTAAAAATAATTTTGTATTTATTGTAACATATTTAGATTTAAGTACTTGGATCAAAGAAAATGTCATCTATAACTTGTACACATGTATCAAAAAGTATAAAAATTATAATATAATATAATTAATTAATCATAATATACACAATAAAAAATTTTGATATTGTGAGAAATTCGCATTTTCTCACTATACGAAATTGTAATTATATAGAGCTGTCAACGATATAGAAATTTCCGGATGATGTATCAACAATATAGGAAGCTTTTTCTAAATAAATGTTTTATTGTATAATAATAATACATTTTACGGTTACTTATGGCTGATTTATTATAAGTATTATAATTATCATTTATTGCCTTTTTTTTTTTAACCAATCATAGAATATAAGTACATTACATTTATTATCCCTCAATATTAAAGGTCGGTAATATTTAGTGACACACATTTATAATGTAATAGAAAAACATTCCCTGCTTTAAAACAGTATAATGTGAATACTATATTATAATTAATCAAGTTCAATCCATCTATCTATTTATAAATTTAATAATAATAATAATAATAATAATAATAAAAAATATGTATAATTGAATTATACATTTTTAGTTGATTGATTAACCAAACATCTAACAACATGGAAGAAAGGCTAAAGGATTAAAATATGAAACTACTACATGATAGGAGCCAAGAGGTATTATTTCGATATTATTAATTGCTAATAGTTAATATTATAAAACAATGAAACTTGTACTATTACTACTGTCTACTACTACAAATATTAATATTATACAAATATGGTTTTATTATTGGACTACACATACAAAATGTTAGCTGATATCATAAAGCAAATTAAGCTGTAATTTGCAAGAAAAAAATATATTCTTCGCTCCACTCTGCAGAATCTATAAAATAATCAATATTTTGATGAGACATCTACGTACAAATGCCGACGAATAATATTTCGTCATCGCCGGTGAATGCAGTACATAAATAAGTACTTATTATGTATTAAAACATTTTAACAAATTTATATAATACAACTAAAAGTTGGCAGGGATAAAGTTTAAACTATAATATATGAATAAAAAAATTCTGTTCTGATATTATAGCGGGTACACAATTATTTTTTGTTTTGCAGTAAATATGAAACTATATAAATCATTAATCAATATTTATTTTTTAATTTGCATGATACATATCTAAGAAGCGATGATACAGTTCACAAATTATTAAATAAACAATCATGGACAAGACATAAACAAAAACTGGGTGTGGCCAATAATTTTGTTTTGCACAAGCATGCCACGAATTGAAAGCAAACCTTGAATTCGCAAAATTATTTTATTGTATCAACCAGCTATAGCTATCAGTTATTTCTATTTGCTATACTGTTTTTAGTACTTTTTACATTTTGAAAAGTCGTGAAAATTATTGAGTTAAGAATTTCAAAATGTTATAATTAGAATATAATTAAATTTATTTTATATTCAAATTTGTAATATAATAAAATCAGAAATTAAATACTTGAACAACAAAAATAATTTAAGGAATATATGATTAATATCATTATAATTCGTGAAAATTATAATGTATATAATAACATGTTTAAACAATAAATTAAGTAACAAAAACGATTAAATTTGTTTAATATAGTTAGAATAACACATTCATTTTCAGATCAACAGAAGTTCAAAATTTAAATTATACAACATTTAAAATCACTTCATAATATAGAGTCCAAAAACGGTTAAAACATTTTCAGAATTATATTCGTACTATATAATCTAGTCTATATAATTCTTAAATAAATACCGTGGACATTATTTCATGTTTATAAGATTATTAAAAGTTGTTTAATAATGAAAAAAGTTTTTCTACCCAGCGGCATCTCCCGAATTTCTTCAACGAGTTTTCGGTTGTTTTTAGAAATGTTCAAGTAAATTACTAGCTACCTGAACTATCCTCAGTATCACTGGTGCCCAAGTTCTGGTATATAAATAAATAATATGAAACGAAACAGAAAAGTAAAACGTCATTGTAGAGTTAACATACTATCCTATCCTCTCATCAAATATAACCTAAAACACATTTTAATAGTAATTTGTAATAAATCAAAAGTTTTAATTAACTTAACATTTTAGTTCCTATTATAAAAATGAAATAATAATGAAAGTTATTTTAATTTAATTTATAATATGTATTATTATACATCCGT